AGGAGAAGGATAGGGATGGGGGGAGGGGGGAGGCTGGGAAGGGATGGGAAGGGTAAACAAAGGAGGAGGCTGCAATGCTTGGTAAGAAATGTACGTATTATCCTGCCCATGCAATTGTAACCCCTCTGTACAGTATGTTCACAAATAAAATAAAATAAAATTAAAAAAAAATAAAAAAATAAAGTCTGTATCTCCTAATAAAAAAAAAATAAAGTATCTATGTCAGAGTAATTGCAATGTTGATGGAAAAGATGATAAGGGCACATACAGGAAAAATGTATCAGTTCAGAATTTAGAAGACTTTATAATTGTTTGATATACTCTTGTAATGATTTAATAATACATTGTAACGTTCACAATATGTTATTAATTCTATCAAAAAATATAAAATCTTAAAAGCTTCTATGAGACTATACGACAGCTATAAATTATTCTGAATGTCATTATAAGTATGTATCACATGATAAAAATAAATAAAACAAGAGAACCCATAATCTGTAGTATAGTATACCCATAAACGATAGTATATGTGTGCTAATTTGACATGAAATTATTTAAGCTTAGAAGTATACAAAGCCAGCTCTTACACAGAAATCACCTTATCTTTCTCTCAAACACCATCACACATTTAAGGGTGTTGCAGTCATACACCAATTTGAAATGTTGTACCTCGATATTGTCTACAGCTAGATGGCAACATGCAGCTAATACAGCTCGACCATCCTGAAAATACCATTCTGCCAGCTCTTTACTGACTTTGTATAGGAGTCTAGAAAGGAAACAACAACAACAACAAAACCCTGTATTAACACATAATTCCATCATAAAAATGAAATAAACAAATATTCTTTTTAAAGGTGATAAAGGGACCAAATAGGATGCCATTTACATCCACAATTTAGGTTTAAACTCTAATTTGGAAAGAAACAAGTCAGAAAGCGGACTTTTTCCAGTGTATGATGTCATCATTATCTCATCAGTCTCAATCTCTACGACTGTCAGAAGAAAAGCTTGAGTTTTAAATATCTCCACTCTGCATTGGGAGGTTTGTGACTAAACTACTTGGGCATCTGATCCTTAGAAGAATTACAGGCTGAGATGGTGTCCAAATCTGTCTTGTGTACATTATTGGGTCTTTAATACCAAGTTCGGAAACTGCAGCAAAAACCAGGAGACATTGGTCCTGGCACCGTGTCTGCTTCTCATTTGGTGATCCTTTCCTACTTCCAAACATTTATATTTCCTACTGTTGAAGGCCTGAGTAGGAGCCAACAAAAGTAGTCAGGGAAGTAGAATTAAACTCAGGTAAGGTTAAAAGGATGACAGATTCTAACTTCTGCTTCTTTTGCTAAATATTTGCATTTCTTCTTGAAAAGAGGAATGAATGCTATTCTGTGGTATCATGGGATTATGGGATTATGGACTGAAGATTATAGGTACTGACTTTACAGTGAAACACACTTTATTTTCTCATCACTACTTTCCCTTGCCAGCATGGCTTGGTCAGTTTTTAAGTATTTAGGGCCTTTTATTGTGTTTTGATTGTCTAAAAGCAATGCATGGAACCAAATCATTGTGAGTAAGGCAGTAAGCATAAAGCAGCAGCTCCTCATTATATAGAGGAAAATAAACTAGCTTCCAAACCTAGTCTCTGAATAGTGGAAATCAGCCATAAAAGTATTAACCCCACATAAAGAATAAATCACTCACTCATTAAAGTCTTCCTTGTAGACATCATCTGAATTTGAAGCTCCTTTGCTTGCAGAAGGATGTAACGTTTGCATATTTCCCTCACATGCCGCCTAGAATTTAGGTAAGCCTCTAATTAATCTTTAGTGATATGTTGATAACCATTTGACTTCTGCTTATTGTTTTCAACAAATTTTACATTTGTACCACGTTTGAAATTTATAGTATGGTTTGGAATTCACTTTGGAATTTTAAAATAAAATTATATGTTAACTCGATTGTGGGCACCAATATAGAACTTCATACAACTACTTTTCTAAAAAAAATGTTGAAATACATAGTTTATTATAGTCAGAACTGTGTGAACAGTTCAAAATTCAGGGATGTTTGTAAGTTCAGAAAGATTTAAAAGAGATTCAGGGTGACCAAAGTAAAGATAGCATGACTAGAATGTTGAAGCAGAAAAAGTTAGGGAAGCAGGAAAAAGCCATGAATGAGTGCCAACTATATAATGGCGAATCAATGCAATTTTCTCCTTCTTCTTAGCCCACCCCTCATCCAGTGCAGTTAGTATGCTTAGGTGCTTGTACCTGTGCAACAAGTAAGGCTTCCTTGAGCTGACCTCTTGACATAAAGAAGTTGACTAGTTTTTTCACATCCCCAATGGCTATGCAGTATGGAATGACATCATCTTTATCTTCCTGGATTAGCTGGTCAGCTCTCCTAATAAAATAAGGGCATATTTACTCTATTAAATGGAAATAACAATTTCAAAATCTGTCTGAATAACTCTGTTTGAAAACCCTTAATACCTTCTGATATTCTTTGGATGAAGAAATCAAAAAGCTGAACATTTTTTAAAAAGCCCTAAAACATCTCACTGTTGTCTTGAGGCTACTCGCTTAACTCCCACCAGCTCCTATATTCCAACTACAGCCTCCACCTTTTAGTTACTTTACTCTGTTCTCAAGTCCTAGAACAATTTTTCCCATCTGTTCTCTTATTTATACCTTATTTTCAGTTCAAATGCACAAGCCTGCATCAGGTTTTCTCTGTCACAATAGATCTAAGGGCATTTTCATGTTAATACTACAGATGCCTACATTTGAAAAGTATCATGATAGAAGCCTATTCATACTGCAAGATGCTAGAAAAGTATTACAACAACTATACAGAATAGCAGATCATCTTTACACTAATTCTGCAAGTTACAGTCATGTAAACTGAATACCTTTATCTTGGATAAATTCATAAAGATTTTGAGGTTCATAGGATGTCTTGTGAAATAAACATCCACTGCTCACTTGACCTTGTTAGAGGTCAAGCAGTAACATTCACAATGTGTTGTGTGATAATAGAACTTGAGATGTATCCGGAATTCTGGGAATCTGAAGGCTAGAAAAAGCCTCCTGCTTAACTTTCTGTTAGGAGAGCTGGTGCTGTGGAAGAGCCTACTTCCCTAGCCCATGGCAAAATAGAAACATTTCTAGATTTCATGCTTCGGCTCTGGATTTTTAAAATTTTATTTTATTGTAAAGATGCTGTACACAAGGGTTACAGTTACATGAGTAAGGCAAATAGTACATTTCTTTTCAAGCATTGTTAATCCTTCCCTTGTTTTCCCACTAGCTTGTCCTTCCCCCGCTCCATCCCTTCTCCACCCCCACCATGCCCAAAGTTGTAGGCTCTGGATTTTTTTATTTGTGTACAGGAATAACAACAGGACTTTTTACTAAATTATTTCCTGTAAGAAAAATATTATTTTTTCTCCAAGAATGGAAGGATTGTGGTTCAAGGACAGTTTGGGCAGAAAAGCGTGCAAGACCCCTTCTTAACACATAGGTGGGCTCAGTGGCAAGCGTCTATCCACCTAAGCTATGAGGGAGGCAGATGTTAGAAGGACCAAAGTTTCTGCCTATCATGGGTGGAAAGGCCACAGGACTCCAATTCAACAAAAGGTTCTGGGCACAAATGGACATGCCTGTTATCCCAGGTACACTGAGAAGCCCTAAGTAGACATAGCCCAGCCATGCACCTGATAAGGTTGTGATACCCAGTGTCAATAACAGAAGAGGGCTAGAAGCATGGCTCAGCAGTACAGTGCCTGTCTGTAAAGCACAAGACATAAGTTAAAACTTGAGTATCACCATTTTGTACTGCTAGAAGTATCAATAGTACTTTACCACCTAGCACAACAGTGCTACATAGTGGATGTTAAATAAATAGTTGCTGATTGAATAGGATAGTATAGAATGGAGAATAATCACATGTATGGAGTGAAAGGTGTTCTGCAAAAGATGTGTCGTGGTCCTAACTTATGGGACCCACAAATGTACATATGTGGATATAGAATCTTTGCTTTGCAATTTATTAACTTAATAGGGAACTATATTGTAGGCACTAAATCCAGTATGACTGGTGTCTTCGTAAAAAAAAAAGAAATTCTAAACTTGAGACACAAGGGTGATGCGGTACGAAGGGAGGCAGAGGCTCTTGATATATCTATAAACTAAGAGATACCAAAGACCCCTGGAAGCCACTAGAAACTTGGAGAAAGTATGCGGCTGACTCTTTCTGAGTGTCTCCACAAAGGGCTTTCTCTGCCAGAAAACTGACTGGACTTTGAGCCTCCAGATTGGCTGCAGAACACAATGGTTCATTTTAAGCTACCCAGATTGTGGCAATTTACTACAGCAGTCCTATGAAACTGATATACCTACTTAATGAAAAAAAACTTTCTTGATTTATGACCTTCTACTGCAAAGATATTTAGTCATATTTACTCCTTATTCAGACCTACTATTAGTCCCAGAAGAGGGCTTGATGAAAATTAGTGTCTCTGGGAGAATATTTATGATTACAATAGTATTCTGTAAAGTGTTTGATAACCTTCAGAAAATTTTCCCATTTACATTTCAGTTCCAATATAATAGTATGGTAGTCATAATGCTTGTTGGTCTTTCTTATGTATATTTAAATGAGGAGATTTGCCTTCTACTGTCATCATTAGAAGTCAGGACAAATACTAGAACATGATTTGTTACCTATTCATTGACTTATTGGCTCAATAAACAAAAATTTACCTATAAATTTAGAACATAAGAAGAAATCTCAAGAACTGCTTCCATATTTATATTGATTGTTTAAAGATTAAGGCATGCCTTACCTCTGCATTAAGTTCTTCCAGTATTTCACTGATACCCCAGGTGCAATTGACAGTGCTTTGTCCCACTGGAATGACAGGGAAGAAAAGCAACAATTGTACATTTTGATTGCATTGTGAATAGACCTTGATGAAGTCATAGTTATAGTAATGCACATTTGTAGTTCTAGATTTCTAGGCACATTTTTTGCATTTTACTTCATGGATCCCACTCAGAATAAATATAACATTATAAAATAAAAAATAATTATTTATTAGGGAAAATTCCACAGCAGAGCTAAAGAAAAAGCATTTGAAAGAGGGAAAGAAAAATAGACTCAGAAAATAAGAGTAATAAAGAAAGGAATAATAACTAAATATAGATTTTGAAAATATTATGACATATCTAATACACCAGAATAATTTGATCCATTTTCAATTAACAATGAACTGTTTTATTTTAATTTTATTTATATTGAACAAATGTGTCATTTGTTTATATTTTATTCTTTCCCTACTCATTTTTATAAATTTTGTTTCTGCCTTTATAATTAATAGTATTTGTTATATTTTCAAAAATTAGACTGGTATTCAAGAAGCTCATAATTCAGTCAATACTGACTATGATTGTTCTTTTTGTTGTTGTTGTTGGTCGTGGGGCTTGAACTCTGGGCCTGGGTGCTACCCCTCAGCTCTTCAGCTCAAGGAGAGCTCTCTATCGCTTGAGCTACAGCACCACTTCTGGTTTTCTAGTGGTTTATTGGAGTTAAGAGTCTCACAGACTTTCCTGCCCAGGCTGTCTTTGAACTGAGATCTTCAGATCTCAGCCTCCTGAGAAGCTAGTATTACAGGCGTGAGCCACCAGCGCCCGGCTATGCTTGTTCCTTGAAAACATGTATTTTTACTGAGTGCAAGACTCCAAGAGAAATGAGAAAAATATATTTTGAACTACCACTACATGAATTAAAATATACAAGCTGTCCAAATCACCTTATTAAGCCTATGGCAGTATTTCTCCAAGACCAGTATGCAGAAGAACTGCCAGAGGGGAGGCTTATGCTTCCTCTGAACTTCCTCTTCCAGTTCTGCTAGTTTAGAGCTCCCTTTACTGACTCCTGTACACTACTGTCCTATGAGCTGCTCTAAAGTATAGAACTTGGGATTATTTGGGCAGATAATCACTTTGATCTAAAAACATTAAGCTTCTTACATTTAATATTTAACATGAATCATATTTTTAGAATACTACAGCAGACTGATTAAGTTTACTTTAGTGGCACATTACCTCTCCGAGTTCAACCATAAGTTCACAGTATCTCTGGATTTGTCCTAATCTCAAGTGTATTTCAGCAGCTTCCTTTAGCCTTTCCTCTTTAGTAGGTGCCCCAATACCGCCACCAAACTTAGACATCTTGACTGTTGTTAGCTCTTGAGCTTCAGACTGGTTAAAAAGAAAACAGTAATTTTTAAAAATTATTCTATGACAGCTGGATATTGTTAAGCACATAGACCTGGAAGTCACATAGTTTAAAAAGCAATCATTTTTAAACACAATGGGGAATATGTACTGGAGGATGAGAGGCTGTATCCCATCATTCTTAATATTCTCCAGGGATGGTGGCTATACACAAATAAAAAGGGCAAACGTCAGTGACAAAGTGATACCTGTTTAGTTAAAGAGAATATAAGTCTCTAGCGAATGTACAAATGACTGGTTCACTTTGGCTCCTACACTAAAACACATTGTGACTTAAGAAATAATTCCTGTTTGTGAAAATAATTGTTCCTGCAACCATCAGATTTATACTACTGGTACATTTTTTTTATGTTCCAACGGTTAACTATCAATATTTCATCAAAAATATACAAACTAATTTTTTTCCTTTTGGGTTTCTGAATCGTTTTTGTTTTTACTATTGGATAAAGTATCATGTATGAAGTAATTAATCCCATATTGGCATTCATTAACACAACAACATGATCATTTTTAATACAGCACATGCCAATCTATGAGTTTCTCTGAGACGAAAATCAGAGCCATCCATATAACGCAATCACCTGGTAAGTGAGGAAAGATAAAGGATTTGAAGAAGTTTTAAGGGACCTTTGAACAATATCATGTACTGCTATGGAAGCTATGACTGCTTTGGCCTGTCCTTGGTTTTACAGATTTATCTCTGTGGAGTTCATTTATTTCAGCACACCTACCTAATTATGTATATACTTATTTCTTCTAATTTTCTTACTTACCATTTGTCTAAATGCACCATATTGCACATTTTACTTACAGTTTTAAATTTAATCAGATGCTTCAAATGCATTATTCCTTTGCAGTAGTTCTGGGGAAGTAAGCTATCATCTTGTCCTTTAATCACAGCAACCAAATTCCATAAATTGTCACTGCCACCTGGAGGCTAAAAGTTGAAACAGAATAAATAGAGGTAGAAGGGTGAATAAAACCTTCCATGATATTATAAAGTAGATTCATCTATTAGGTACATTCATGTATTCTAATTTAATTATTTAGATGATAAGTAACTACATAATCTCATTTATTATTTCTCATTTTATGTTTTTCCCTTTCTTCCCTCCCTCACTTCCTCACCTCCTTTTCCTTACTATCCTATGTAGCTGGCCGTCAATTCACAACCCTACTGCTGGCCCAACCCTCAAATGCTGGGGTGAAAGGCAGGCACTACTGCATAACAGGCAGCATTTGATTTCTTCTACTATACAGAGTGTGATAAAAAGAGAACAAATCAATTGGGTTGATGACTGTGAATATATGGATATTCTTAAAGCATATAGAGCTGGAAGCTACATATTTAAACATAAGACTTTTTCTCAGTAAAATACAATTCATATTTAAACATAATATTTGAGCCACAATGAATCAGAGCTTTGGTGGTTCAGTTTAGCTAAAGGGATAAGGCTTATGTTTAATTGCAACAATACTTACTGATAAACATTCTGAAAACCATCTTAATTTTTTTGCTCGAGGATTACCAGTTAGCTTTTCTATTTCTTGCTTAATATCTCTTGACACTTTCCCACACAATAGAGGAGGAGTGCCTTGTTCAAGAGCATGATCTGAAGCAGAGATGCGATGTCGTGAGTAAATACGTCTTACAAAGTGTTGTTTAATTATAAAATTTAATATTTTAAGTACCAGTATTCCCGATAATTTCCTCCCAGGATCTGTCAGCCACAACGTTTATTTGTAAAGGCGTGATTAAAGATGTCAATGACCAGAGTCTCACTGTGGAATCACGGGAGCAAGAGGCCACGGTGAAGGGACGACTGGGGTGACATGTTAAGCCTGATAGAAAACAAGCCAACTTATTTTCAAGAAGAATAAATATTGAAAAGGAAAATTTATGTATACTTCATTAATCTTCTACAGAATTGAAATGATGAAGAAATGTGAATAAGGGAGAGAGAGTCTTAGCGGTCAACTTTCTGCCTGCATTTAATTAAAATTGAGACTGAAAATATAAAACTGTAATACATTACTTAATACTTTCTGTAACATGAATATATACTTATAAAAAATTAAATAGTCCTGAATGAAAATTCTGCAATTACATTTTACTTGGTTAAGCAGGGTGTGTACCATAATAGAGCACATGGTATTTACTAGTTAATGGGAGTTCCAGTTACAAAATAGAGGACTTGGAGACTGCATTCCAAATTAAAGAACATCAACAAAAAAGGATTCTCCTGGGGCTGGGAAGGTAACTCAGCGGTAGAGTGCATGCCTTGCAAGCATGAGGCCCTGGGTTCGATTCCTCAACACCACATAAACAGAAAAAAGCCGGAAGTGGCGCTGTGGCTTCAGTGGTAGAGCGCTAGCCTTGAGCTGAAGAGCTGAGGGACAGTGCCCAGACCCAGAGTTCAGGCACCATGACCGGCAAAAAAACAAACAAACAAACAAAAAAAGGATTCTCCTACACTCAGTCGCACATGCCTTAAGGCGGATGCCCTTGGGATAATGTCAGGGATTTGTATTATTCTTTAAGGATTTGTTATTTTTAATTCTTAGTCTATTCATTCCAATCAAGGTTTAGGAATAAGAGCAAGTACAAATACAAGTGAGAATAAATGATGTATAACAACAAAATTATCTGAGTTTTCCACACTTATTGCAACTTGGTGTATATTTAAATATATATATATACATATATATTTCTCTTTGTATATCAAAATAGGGAAATGGTTAAGTAAGTTATGTCTACACTATGAATAATTTCCTCTTCTACAACTTATGCCATGAGTCCCTGTAAAGTAAGCAAGCAAATCCAACCTATAAATATAGCCAACCTATAAAATATATATCCTTATATATGTATATGTAGTGCATATGTTTTGTGTGTGTGTTCACAGAAACACAAACACACTTGCAGAGACAGATAACACAGTGCTAACAATAAATATTTTCTGATAACTGTCACTTATCATTTTTATATTTTGATATTTCAATATGCTGATTTATCAGTGAGGACAAATGTTATTTAAAAAATGAAATGTTACTTCTTTAGAATGTTTTACTGCCCAGGAATTACAAGTATCATTAACACATCAAAACAAATATACATGAAAAATATTTTACCATATACATCTGCACCGTGATCACACACAGTATCCAAACAAGTTCCTTCCCGAGTGTCCCATACTTTTATAGTATAGTCCCAGCTGCCAGATATTAGTAGATAGGGAATCTCAGTATTCCACATTAATCCCCTCACAGGTGCACTGTGTCCATTAAGAATACTTATGCAAACATCTTGAGTATAATCCCAGATTCGAACAGAACTGCAAACAGAATGTTATCTATATAATTCAGATTATAATATATACTTTTGTTCTTTAAGGCAAGTCTCTGTTTCATATAAAAAGATTCCTTTTCTTTTCCAACTCATTTTTTTGGGGTGTAGAAAAATATAAACAGCCACCCATATCCATCGGGTTTTCAGTTTTGGACTCAACAAAGTATGGATCAAAAATACTGAAAAAATACAATTGTATCTGCACTAAAATAGATAGAATATTTTTCTTGTCATTATTCTCTCAACATAGAATATAACAACCATTTCTAGAGCATAACTTATTTCTATATCTTATACATTTGATTTGAATATATTTTCTCTTTTCCACATATTCCTTTAAAATTATTTCTCTTAACTTTCCTGAAAATAATCTAGAAATAAGCATAAAGACTGAGTAAAATAAATAGGTAAGAATCAAAAAGATAAGTATGGTTGAATTTAATTTTGGTTTAGTTCTTCATTAAATGTCTACTTGTTAAGTACAAAAAGACTTAAAATATTTCCATGTGCCGGGCGCTGGTGGCTCATGCCTGTAATCCTAGCTACTCAGTAATCTGAGATCTGAGGATCGCAGTTCAAAGCCAGCCCGGGCAGGAGAGACCGTGAGACTCCTAGCTCCAATAAACCACCAGAAAACCGGAAGTGGTGCTGTAGCTCAAGTGGTAGAGTGTTCGACTTGAGCTGAAGAGCTGAGGGACAGCGCCCAGGCCCAGAGTTCAAGCCCCACGACCGACAAAAAAAATAAATAAATAAATAAATAAAATATTTCCATGTATGATTTTATTATATACACATATGTGTTTCTGGGAAAATATATTTATGACTTAAAGCTCAAAAAAATTAGAAGGCAAGAATACATACCCATCATCAGAACCACTACAAAGAATTCCTTCCCTCAGAGGTGACCATTTTACATGAAACACTTTAGCTGTATGTCCACTAAAAACTTTCAGTGGTTGGTCAGAGCTGGTGGCTGCGTAATAGATGCGAACATTTTTGTCTTCACAGCCAGTGGCTATCATATTTCTGAAATGCCAACGGTGGTTCATTAAAATAGGATAGGTTTATATTATTGATTATCAGTAATTGAAAAAATGTACAACGAACTTTACAATTTAGGCAGGGGGGTCCAGGGGGTGAGGAGTGTAGTTGTGGAGATGGGAGGGAAGGGATGGTAGGAGAAAAACAAATGAGGAGGCAACAATTCTTGATAGGAAATGTACTCACTACCTTGCTCGTGTAACTGTAACCCCTCTGTACAGTATTTTCACAATAAAAAACTTATTTAAAAATGTACAGCAGTTTTAACTTATACAGATGTAGAAACTTCCGCTTCCTTAACAAAACAGAAATGATATATATAGAGAGAAATAAATACAGACATCTCTATGTTTACATAGCTATCTATAATCATTCATACTACTGGTTGTAGAAACTGCATACCAGTAGGAAGAGGTTTTTTTTCCAGTGTTCCATTTTTATTGTTAGTATATATATGTTATTTATATTTATATATTTGGGGTTTATGGGTTATTTTTTAGACATATAATTTCCTGAACCTTATACTTTGTAATTATTTTTATCTTAAAAAGGGTTCTTCCTGATAAGTGATGAGTTGCTTACTTCACATGCCCTGGGAATTGTTACTTGTTTTATAGGTGGTGTGAGTACTGATTGTGATGATTCCTGTAGAAGAATGCTGGAAAAGCTCCCTGAAGAACAGGCTGTCTCAACAGATAGTAAGACAGTTCAGTTTTCCATTTCTTATTGTGGGCCTTCACTTTCTTGAGATGCTTTATTTGTTACAAGCAACTAAGGATCCTCTGGAAATACACTGTGATCTTTATATTATTTGCTCTTTATTCTCACAAGAGTGAAAGTATAATACTCGTTGTCCCCTAGTTGGAATATTGTTAGGGAAGGAGTGACGGAAACTAGGAAAACCTGTGGAGACCATGTACCTGTCAAGAGAGTCTAATTAAGGAGCATCTGCTCTAATCTTCATATAAATAGTTCTCTTACCCTACCGCTAAAGAGGAAACGAATTACATGCTTTGGAATTCAACCATCATTAAAATTCTTGAAAAACTTCAAATTTCTGATTGTGTCATGTAACCTTTATATTTTATATTCACATGCAGAAATACAACTGGCATGTACAGATTACATCTTCCTAAGGTTCACTAATAAACAGACCAATTTTCACATTCTGGAAAATTATTTTGCATATATACATACATAGATTTACATACACAGTATATTTTGTATGCTTGCAGATGCTAGAACATTAATATATATTCTTAGAGAAATATCAAAAGCATTAAAGAAGCATAAAACATATCCAAATTGCAATTGCAGACATTTTGAATACACTTTTGAAAGGAGAGGCCATTTTTATTTTTCCACTAAAATGCAAAGGAGAATATGAATACATGGGGAATAACTTTAAATTTTATAAATTAAAAAAATATGAGAAATACACATATGGAGAATAAGATAAGTTTATAACAGTTAAAATAATGGACTTAGAGTGTCAAAAATTTTTCTTAACTAACAATACTGTATTAAAAATCAAATTTTTATTTCAATTTCCTAAATCTTAGTTCCATCAGGCAGATAAGAATGTAGAACTGTTATTCAGATACAAAATAATCCTATTGCTGTATTTACTTAACAAGTAATTATAGGACATCTAATCTACCTTTTCCAACAAACTGAGAGTTAGCCACACAATGTTTTGCTGTGAATATTGTGAGACACACAGAAGCACGCTGGTGATCTCTTGGGCTTACATTTCAGAGGGGGAAGAAGCCAATATGCAACTAATTACATAATCAAAATTTAATTTTAGAGCTGAGTGTGGTGGTGTATGGGTCCAGCTACAAAGAGAAGGAATTAGGATTATAGTTTCACACCAGACAGGGCAAAGTTAGTTGAAGGTGTGATCTGAAAAACAAACTAAAAGCAAAATGACTGGGATGTGGCTCCAGTGGTACAATGAGCCTTTGAATTTAATATCCAGTAACCAAAACCAACCAAAACAGCAAAAGATTTAATATTATCACAATACCTGCTTTAAAGGTGAATTATAAGAGACATTTACTTAATATCAAAGTCAGGGAAGATGGTAAATGTATTTCTGCTGAGAGTGAGATGGGGTCTGTAGTGTGTAACGAAGAGAAGCATCCTAAATATAGGTGGGCAGCATGAATAAAAGTATTGAAGTGAATATTGTCTGCATAGTTCAAGAAACTGAAAGCCACTATGGTCAGAAGCAAGGTGAGCAAGGCTTGGATGAGATTCATTAACCAGAGTGAAACCAAGATCATATAAGGACTTTGTTGTAAGGCTTGCCGGGAATTTCAGTTTATCCTGCAATCAATGGAAAACTATGAAGGATTTAAGCAGTAGACTGGTGTGCTCAGATGCATACTTTTAAATGTGCACTAAAAGAGGTAGAGAAAGAGAAAAGCAGAATAGCAAATATAAAGTCTGGAAATGATTAAAAAGGCCTCTGATAATGTCCAAAAACAAAATCTGAAATATTAAATAGTCAATGTCTTAAATTCTCACCAGTGTTTTAAGTTTTTAAGTATTTTACAATGCAAATGCCTATGTATGATATACTTTTTGAAACTGTACAGTATTTTCACAATAAATTTTTAAAAAAGAAAATAACATGAATATGACTTTGAAAAATTCTGTTATGTAGACACATAATAGATTGTTTTAACCTACTAGATTGTGTCCTTTATTAAGAGTGCTGTTTTATTTCTTGTTTTCTAAAAACAATAAAAAATGCTAGACTTTATTCACTTTTTTATCAATCTAAGGTTATATATGCATTAGCCATTTATTCTATTAATAGCTTATTAAATTAACTTATTTTTCAGAAAAATAATTCAGATATTAATTTACTGGAAGGGAGATGTCTTGAGAAAGAATACTTAAACAGATATTAGAATGAGCACTAGACTGGACATGGAAGTTTTGACATATTAAAGTATAAGAAAAGACGCTAAGGATACTGGGTTTAGTTTTTTGTTTGTTTATTTTCTTGTTTTATTTAATTAGCAATTACTAAGTCTTTAAATAGGAAATAATGGTAGGTAGTTTAGTCAACAAGTCATTTTATGCATAACAATGCAATTCTACATTTAGTGAAGTATATGTGACTTTACTCAGAACACAAGCATAATGAGGTGTTAATAATTACTTCTATGTTTCTTACATTTTTGGTCTGGAAAAATCATAATTCATATTACTTTGACTAAATCTGGAGAAACCATATTTTCAAATATAGTTTATATTTTATCAAAGAGAAGTTTGAAACACAAAATTCTTGGAAATGAAGTAAGCTAAATGCCCAAACATAATGGAATTACATGAGAATAGCCCAGATTTGTATAGTTCTTTAAAATCTCCAAAATATAATAGCTACAGAACAAATATACTTACTTGTTGTTCTGGCTCCAATCACAGCCAAACACTGCAGCTGGATGTTTGTATCTGTGTAGAACTTTGCCATCAATTGTTCGGATAATACTAAAATTAATTATAAAACGTTAATAGGAAAACAATGTTTTGTCTTTGTAAACACCATTCCATTGTTATAATTAGTGATATAGCAATACAACATATACCTGCCTGGGCTGATATAAAATAGTATAATATATGGTAGAACTATTCAAATAAAATCTCATTGATACATAGTTAGAATGACCAAATACATCTTTTATAGACAAGGACACTTCATAATAGGATATAGTACTTACCAGAAACCATCTCCACTGCAAGTGGCTATTCTTTTGGAATCTTTATGACTCCAGGCAATGCAGAATATTCCATTTTTTCCATGCTTCAAAAAATGCAAAATACCTATCAATAAGAAATAATTCACCCCTTTTTCTCTTATTTATTTACTTCTTTTAAGTATTTTTTCTATTATGAACTTACTCTATATAATACTGAGATATTACTGTCCATAGAACAAATAGATAGATAGTCTAAGAAATTGCAATGTTGTCACATTTAAGAAACAGATCCATCATTTAAAGAGAAGTATTATTTGGCTCTGTTTCTTTTAGGGGGCATGGGAAAGAGTCTGCTTTTTCAGTTATCCATAGAATTAACGTTTGATTCATGTCTTTTACTGTGAATACCAGGCTACTCCAAGTATAAGAAATGTGGTGAGCAATATTTATTACTAGTTGTTCTTTTAAGTATCAAGAGTCTATTTTTGTTGAGAAATTAGAAGAGATATAAAATTGTCCTATAATAAGGCATTCACTATTTATTGTAAACCTGAAGACATATTAGGGCATATATAAATACAGGTAGTGTGATTCAAGTTTCTAAACACAAGGAAGGAATAAACTACATATATAGGATGTCATTTGTCAACTGTGTTATGGATGAATGAAAGTTATAATTGACCCATTTCTGAATGACAGTTTAACATTTTCTATTTGATATAGTACTTAGATTGTGTTGCCATTATGGTAAAACTAAAGTGATTTCTTATTCTGCTTTTGTAAAGATATAGATTTGACTTCCTAAGGTAATATCCAAGTTTTAAAGTTTCTTTGAGCAGGTTAAGGAAGGGAGACATATATATATATATATATATATATATATATATATATATGTATATGTGTGTGTTTGTGTGTGTGTGTGTGTGTGTGTGTGTGTGTGTATTCATTCAGCTTAAGTGATGGAGGCTTAATTTTCCTTTGCCATGAGAAATACATCTGTCACTTTTAAAATTTCTTTCTTTCTTTTAGGTCACACATTGGCATTCTTATAATTTTCTCCATATTTGTAATACAGAAGTGGAGCAGTTCTGATACTGGGTTAGTATACTATTGATTGCTAGGAAAGACTTGAAAGAATATAAGATGTGTCCCTCATACTGATTGCTTTGAATACTAGTCAGAATTATTTAAGTGCTAATAAAGAGATATGTTGCTTTGCATAGAATCAAGATGTCATCAGAGGAAATCAGTAGATACTCAATAAATATTTTGAATAAATATTTTGAATCTTGATCAAAAGTTTAATTTCTAGGCTCATTTCTTTCACTGTTTATTCTGAGACAAGTTCCTGTCCTGGCAATAGCAATGTGAAGATCAGGTTGACTATTGCCAACAGAAGAGCGTTGTTTTGATGTATGTGGAAAAGGGAAGGATATTTCTTTTATTCTATGAATATTTCTTCTTTGGAGAACACAATTGTTCACCAGTGCTTGGCAAATAATACATTAAAGCAATTACCCTCCCCCACCCAGGGGAACAGAGCTGCTAGACAGTGTCTTCAAAGGGATACACATGCTTTTGCATAAATATTTTAGAGCCTTAAACATATAAGCAGTATTCAAAGAAAGTACTTTTTTAATAACTTAAATTCAAAGTAAACAAAATTTCAAGATGGTGAAATAAAAGCCTAGATTTCATTCATGTTCTCCAATGCACACTTAACGTGCCATATCACACTGCACGTGATTTTTGAATGATAATGGAAATCTGTAAAATCTGGGATGATGATTTAAGCCTAAGGAAAACGACGATGCGTGATATTACACCTAGGAAGAAGAGCACTGATAGAGCTTTTGCTACAATGAGAGAATCTGAGGGAAATCTAAGAAATGACGGCCTCTAAGCTTATCACTTCGTAAGTGAAGAAACAGGATCAAGGCATTAAAAGGATTCTATGCTGAAGGATATTATCAAGTGAAAAAGAATTACAATTTAGTGTTTCTGAGTTTATTCTTTCTTACATCCGTTAATCTTTGCCTGGACTTGGTGGAGGATGACTTGAAATTCATTTCAATCTCTAATATAACCGGGTGCAGGTGAATTTTTATAGTTGAGGCACAATTCTCAGATTACAGTTGAGAATGCAATTACTTCATTGAATTAGTTGAATTCATTGATTAGTTATGTTAGCATATTTTTGATTATTAAATCAAGAATTAAAACATTTATAAAGTGTAAAGTACTCTAAGAGAATATACATGTCATCGTATTTTGAGTATTAAATTAAGAAGTAAAACACAAAGTATAAAGTACCCTAATTATTCAGCAGCCAGTAGTTATATCTTACCTCATTAAATCGTTGTATTATTTTGCCCTTATGAACATCCCAGATAAAAGCACCATTTCGAGAAGTTGCTCCGGCAATACAATTTAAACCACCTTAGGAAACAATATGTTTGTTAGACATTAGATTATATATACATATATGCCAAAATATAATTCCTTTGAAAAGATTACAAAGGAATTTTACCATAAATAATTTGTCAACATTAATATATCTCATCATATCTGTAGTATTTTATAGTATTTAATTCTGTTACTCTTTGGAGATTCTTATTTACAAATTTATTTGCAGTTTTTATTTTCTTATTATTTATTCTAAAACAGAGGAAATTATACAGCTATATATGTCATACTGTATTCCAAACCTCTGTCAACCTTCACTAATGTAGTTTTAATTTCATCCAGATTTATCTAAAAGCCAATTAGTAACCTTACAGCAAAAAGGAACAAACTTTTCCCAAATTTTTATTTTCTGCTGCAGATTCTCAATGTAAAATGAAAGTAGGCTCTCAGTAAGATTGGCTATTTAGGTTATGATTTGAACGGATGGATTGATGATTTTTACTTGAGTTCTGGGCTTGAGACATGCATTTCTTTTCTTTTTTTGTAGATTGTATCATTTTGTTCATTTCTAGATTACTATGATATAAACCATACTGAATTAAGATACATTCTGGAATAAGTGGTCTCATACAAAGATTATATATATTATATATTCTATGCAAAGGTATATAGATTACAGTAGTATATTTAGAAACAGAGATATTAGATAAAGGAAATATTTTATATTATTATAGGAGAAGGTTTATTGAAATAATTATGAAAAAATTGTGCTAGTGCTGGGATTTGAACTCTAGGCTTTGTGCTCTCACTTGGTTTTTTTTTCCATTTAAATCTGGCAATCTATCACTTGACCATACCTCTACTTCGGCCTTTTAATTGATTCAAGTAGAGATGAAAGTGTCTTGGATTTATCTGCCTGAACTAGCTCCAAACTTCTGTCCTCAGATCTTAGCCTCCTAAGTAGGTAAGATTACAGGCATGAGCCACCAGTGCCTAGCTAGGAAATACTTTTTTATAGTTATGAATGTAGTTCTAGTTTTATAGTCATTTCCAGAAATAAACTTCTATGAAAAGGAAAATAGTCTTTATAGTATATATTATAAAATAACATCACATAAAACTCTTGCTTGCATAACATTCCTCTACAGTTCCCAATGTTTTTAAATGAAAATGATATCAAGAGACTCTAGGTATTTCAAAAGTAGGAGTAAAGCTTGGATTTGAAAGCGACTTTCAGATGGAAAGGCAGTCACCAGCATAGCCAACATGAGGCCAGGTGCTTTGTGGGAACTGCTTTCATCACTTAGCATCTGGCTTTTCTCTTCCTTTCTTTCTTTCTTTCTTTCTTTCTTTCCTTTCTTTCCTTCCTTCCTTCCTTTCCTTTCTATTTTCTTTCTTCCTTTCCTTTCTTTTTTTTCTTTCTTTCTTTCCTTTTCTTTCATCTCTCTCTCTCTCTCTCTATTTCTTTCTTCCTTTTTTGCTTTCTTGCATTCTTGCTCTCTTCCTTTTTTTTGGTAATGCTTTTTTAAATTATCATTAAGAAGTTGCACAAAGGAGACAAAGGAGTTGCTTTTCATCAAAGCAGTTTATGAATGCAGTGCGTCCTTATCAATGTTACCCTTTCAACATTCTCACCCACCTCTCCCAAGTCACCCTTGGTTTACTTATCTTAATTTTAGGTTATGTATTGAGATTTTGCAATTCACAAAGAAGTTTATGTGTACAATGCATCTTGTATGTAAACACTTCAACAACTTCACCCCCCTTCACCCACTCCTCTTGTATTTCCCAATTCTGTGATATATACAATGAATTCTTGCCTGTGTTCTCCCCACTTCCTCCTTCATTTCTCTACCCTTCTCCTTTTGGCTCCACGCACGCCTCTTGCAAGTACCCTTTTCCTGGTACTTGTTTTGTTGGACTTTTACTAAGTCTTTTAAAAAAATATACTATTTGTGTTCTCCATAGAGTGCATTATACTTCTGCATGTCTGTGTTTCTGTGTAGTTGAACTTGGGAATGTTCAACCAATAGCAGTTACAATGCAATATTACACTTCTGATGGGTTCCAATCTTACATTGCTCTCCAGGAAAACATGCTTTGAAGATGTACATTGTAATAATTAAAAGCACTGGCAAGTTTTGATTAACAACATAAGCATTGTCACTATGAGCTGTACATAATATTTTCTCCTCTTTTTAGGAGAGCTCTATAACCCAAAGCTATATAATCATCTTTTTTTACATCATCTTCTTTATTGGGAATCCAATTGCTATGGCATGCTAACAGATACAAGCATACACATGCCTATTCTAAAACTTAAGGAAAATTATTTTTTCTCCAAAAGTATCAAACACTTTGAAGGCCCATAAGTTCAATGTTAATTATCCTCATGCATAATGAAACAAGTAAAAAAAGGATAAAGGATGGTTGTTAATATAAATTTGATTCAAATAAACTCAAATAAAATTTGATTCACATAATATCATAAATTTAATGCACATAAAAATCCTGGAAAACTTTTATCCTATAAAATGTATCATCGTGGGCTGGGAAGTTGGCTCAGTGGTAGAGCACTTGCCTTGCATGCCTGAGGCCCTGGGTTCGATTCCTCAGCACCACACAAGCAAAAAGAAAAAAGCCGGAAGTGGCGCTGTGGCTCAAGTGGTAGAGTGCTAGCCTTGAGCTGAAGAGCTGAGGGACAGCACCCAGGCCCAGAGTTTAGGCCCCACGACCGGACCCAAAAAAAAAAATGTATCATCATTTAAAAGGTATAGCTATAGAAATAACAGCTAAAATCTATATATGATTATATCATATTAAAGGAGTCAAGAATGAAAATACCTATGCATGTGACTTACTCTGAAACCTCATTAAAACTGAAGTAACTAATTGTGGGTATTCATTTGCTTATACAAATTGTGGCAACATGAAATCTAGAGAAAGAAGACAGATCAAATGAAACTTAAAAATCACTTAATTATATTCTTCATCTTAATAAAGTATATCTTACCAGGAGCCCATGAAAGCGAATAAATAACCCCTTCATTGCCAGGAGAAGTGTACACTGCTGTTAACGTGTTTATATCCCAGACTTTTATAGTGCCGTCAAACGATGCTGTTGCTAAAAGATTTGGATCATCAGGTTTGAATTTGCAGTCAAAGATAGTTTCCACATGGCCCTATGAACACAGTATAAGTATAGAAAGTCTTAACTACTGAGACAATACTGATTATCAGCAAACAAATCAGAATGAATCATTAAACTGATACATATGCTACGGTTTTTCAAATAGTATTGAAAAATTAGAGGTAAAAATGATACATAAAATTAGAATTGCTGCTATGAATACTGAATATTCTTTGTGGCTATTGCTATTTATTCAGAATGCTTGAGACCAGAAGTATTCCAGATTTCATGTATTTTTAGATTTTGTAGTATTTCCATATGCATAATGAGATACTTGAGTAATGAGACCCGTATCTAAAACTGAAATTTGTTTGTGTTATTATATAAGTTGTATGTATAGCCTGAAGACAATTGTGTTTGTGTGTGTGTGTGTGTGTGTGCGCTAACAGGGCTTGAACTCAGGGCCTTATACTCTCACTAAGATTCTTATGCTCATAGCTGGCACTCTACCACCTGCGTCACACCTCTACTTCGGCAACTTTGCCTTTATGCTGGCTAACTGGAAATAAGAGTCTGTCTGGTTTTTCTTTTCTTTTCTTTTCTCTTCTTTTCTTTTCTTTTTGTCAGTTGTGGGCTTGAACTCTGGGCCTGGGCCTGGGCACTGTCACTCAGCTCTTCAGCTCAAGGCAAGCACTCTACCACTTGAGCCACAGTGCCACTTCCTGTTTTCTGAATGGTTTATTGGAGATAAGAGTCTCACAGACTTTCCTGCCTGGACTGTGAATGGTGATCCTTAGATCTCAGCCTTCTGAGTAGCTAGGATTACAGGTGTGAGCCAGCAGCACCAGGCTTTCTCTGGTTTTTCTAACCAAGCTGTCTCTAAACAACTAGAACTTCAGATCTCAGCCTCTTGAGTAGCTAGGACTGAGCTAGTTGAGAGCCATCAATGGCTGGTAGGTTACAAATTTTTTGTGTGCTTTATTCTTGCTCAAGGCTAGCATTCTACCCCTTGAACCACAGCTCTACTTCTAGTTTTTTAGTGGTTAATTGGAGAGAAGGGTCTCAGATTTTCCTGCCCAGGCTGGTATGATATCACTGCAATCCTTAGATTTCAGCCTTTTGAGTAGTTAGGATTAAAGTTGTAAGTCACCCACCAGCACTTGGCTTTAGGTCCCAATTTGTAATGGTCTTCAGGTTTTTAGAGGCTTCCGTCTAGATTGCAAAGGAAGGCCTAGAGCAGATAGCAAATGGCACTGGCAGAATCCCTGTGGAGAAGTTCTAAGAGGGGGATGCATGAAGCTACAAAAATGGAGTGAGGTGAGGCCTGGTAACTTACACAGTGATCTCAGATACTTGTAAGGTGAAAATGAGGACTGCAGTTCAGGTCCAGCTTGTGCTAACCATTAGCAAAACTTAATGCTAACAATTTGCCCTGCATGGAGGCAGATACCTGTGTTTTCAGCTCTGAGGAGAAGCAGTTTAGTTTGAGACCCACTCCAGGCAAAAATATGTGACACTTTTTGAAAATAATGAAAGCAAAAAGGACAGGGAGCAGGAATTGTGACTCATGGTAGAGCAAGTGCCCAACAAGGGCTCAAGTTCAAACCCAAGAAAAAGAATGGATTCCAAATAGTAATAGAGACACCAAGGAGAGGGAGAGGCAGGAACATAAAACATGGCCAAAGATGGGAATGTAAACTAGTTCCCTATGAGCCAGCAATTCCACTTCTGGGCATTTATCCAACAGAACACAAACAATGCCAAATTAAAGCTACCAGCACAAATGCCTCTCAGAGAACAAATGGATCAAGAATATGTGATGCGCGCATGTGTGCATGCACACACACACACACACACACACACACACAATGGAATTCTACTCTTCCACCAGAAAGAATAATATTGTACCATTCAAACAGAAATTGAAAGACTTGGGGAAAAACATATTAAGCTAAGTAAGCCAGATGCAAAGAAATATAGGTTGCATGTTTTCCCTATGGTAACTAGAATGTGACTATAAATTTATACGTAAATATTGGATGGTAAAAAGCAAATACACTAAGGCATTATAAACTATATAGGTCTTGAGCTATTCACACAGATGACAAAGGCTCAATAGTTTTGTGTATATGATCATGGAAATGATATTTTTTTAAATGAACTCGAGAAATGGAAGTTTTTGTTGTTGTTTTTATTTTTTCCTTTTGTCTTGTTTGTTAGATTACCTGGTTTTGGAGGGCAAGAGAGGTCACAAAACAGGCATACAACTTATGGGTGGAGATGGTAGAGAAAAGGGAAGAGGGAAGGGGCAACATGGTTTAAAATGAAATGTACTCATTACCTGACGTAAGTAACTGTAATTCCTCTGTACATCACCTCTACAAAAACAATAAAATATACTTAAAAAAAAAAAAACATGGCCAAAAGTAGGCCGTAGGCCGTGAGATTGGCCATGAGGGCTGCAGCTAGGAAGGCAAACATGTTAACCAAACACATTACCACCTGCTCCAGATGCTGGGCACGCAGCTTCCTGGCTATTGCAAGGTAGGCAGCTATGAATCAACACATGCTCCCCACAAAAAGTTCTGTCTTGCCGGGCGCTGGTGGCTCATGCCTGTAAAACTAGCTACTCAGGAGGCTGAGATCTGAGGATCGCGGTTCAAAGCCAGCCCGGGCAGGAGAGACCATGAGACTCTTATCTCCAATAAAAACCACCAGAAAACCGGAAGTGGCGCCGTAGCTCAAGTGGTAGAGCACTCGCCATGAGCTGAAGAGCTGAGGGACAGCGCCCAGGCCCAGAGTTCAAGCCCCACGACCGACAAAAAAAAAAAAAAGTTCTGTCTCATTCCAGACTCAGACGCAATGCAGCCAGACAGAATGAAACTTCTGCAACCATGAGCTAAGACGAACCTTTGCCTTTAATTTGCGTCCTCTCAGTTGTCACAGAGACAACATCATTTAATTCACAAATGATACGAGAGCAGTAAGACATGGGATAACAGGCAGGGATTACTATCAAGCTGAGTAGACATTAATATCCTAAGATTCAATTATTGACACTTGGTCAGTATTAGTAGCTTTGTCTTTATTCTGTATATTCTGTTTAATATATTTCAACTGACTTTAAAACGTCTTAATGTGCTGGGCATCGGTGGCTCACGCCTGTAATCCTAGCTACTCAGGAGGATGAATGCTGAGGATCGTGGTTCAAAGCTAGTCTGGGCAGGAAAGTTCATGAGACTCTTATCTCTAAAAAACCACCAGAAAACTGGAAGTGGTGCTGTGGTTCCAGTGGTAGAATGATAGCCTTGAGCTGAAGAGCTCAGGGACAGCACCCAGGCCCAGAGTTCAAGCCCCATGACCGACAGACGAAAAAAAAAAGTCTTAATGTATCAATATCATTGCTTACAAAAATAATTTCTAACAATTTTAATACACAGTGAAAAAAAATGAAAACCCTGGGTTTACACAAAATAAGCATTGTGTAGCAGAATTGCTTCAGACATACCAAGTCCCTGAGAAAATCCCACTTCCTGGCTCCCAAGTCATAAAGTCCAACTCCGCCATCCAGGAAACAGCACACAGCATGACCAGGAGGTAGAGAAAATGCTTGATTCTGTGTCAAGCCTGGGGGCGGAACTGCTTCGCTTGTGGAGGATGTATAATGATTTTTGTTTGGAGACTGGATTAAAACTAACAAAGAAGAGGAGACAAATAAGCATTTATAAAAGCAATAGCTTGCTGTTGGAATGAAACTACAGAGTTGCATATATAAAAGATGCTTCACTGGCTTTAAAATCCATAAATGGGATCCATGATCACAAGTCTCTGTCAGATGGAGGAATCAGAAGCACTTCCTGGATTTCAGTTTGAGTGGTTTGCAATGCAGATGGAGTGACACGGGTGAAATGCATGTGACTTTCTTTTAAAGCAAGTAATTGACACTAATTTCTAATCAATGGAAGGAAATAATTATTTTTTACATGTACTATTTAGTTTAGTATACAGGCTAAGAATCATGTGACTTATTTGAGTATCAATTTATTTTCAATTTTTCTAAATTTTCCACAGATATACAGTTCTCCTACTTCTAAATACATAAATGTGCACGTTTAGCTATATTTTTGTATGCTTTTCACCCTATATTTAGTCCTCCTTTGGAAGATTTCCTTAGAGTATGACTATTTTCTCGCAAGCACAATAAAAAATAGTATCAGCATAAATTATTAGAACAATCAATTATCAATTACATATTTAAATATAGACAAGTGTTTCCCAGCATTTGGGAGAGTTATAAAATATTATGAAGCCTATCTTACTATATTCATTATGGATCATACTCTCTTCTAAATTTTGTAATAAGGTCCAGGCTAGACTCAACTGTCTCTTTCTGTGTGTCTATCTCTGTCTTCAGTTCTATGGATTAAATCAAGGCTCTCATGCATGTTAGGTAAGTGCTCTACCACTTGAATTATAGCTCTGGCCTAAAATTGATGGGATTACAGATGTAGATTTTAGAAGGTCTTCACAGTCTTTATGTTATTCATAGTTCATGTTTTTAGAATTCTGTACATATATCATGTCCAGTGAATACATTATAAATTTTCTTTCCATAAGTTTTCTTATTGAATGCTGCTGTAGTATGCAATATATTGCCACAATATGTCATAAGATATTCACTTTAACACTTTAAAAATTGGAAACTTTAACTCTAACAATATATTGTCTGAAGAAATAATGACAAGATTGGCATATGCATCCTTACATTTTCTGACTTCTGAGAGTATGGAAGATAGTTGTAAAAACAAAAGCAGAGAAGAGTATGTGTCATCAGTCATTCTGTGATATGAGAAGTCATAGCCACTGAACAAAATATTATGCTCATAGGAAAAATACAGTAGGCCAGTCTCCACCATGTTTTTTACCAGTCCAAATCCGTCTAGAACCTCTGGAGGATCTGGGAATGATGGGATTCCACAGGAAAACTTAAAAGTTATAGATTTTTCCACACTAGATGAGATACTATGCTGATACTAAATTTTATATTAGATGCTACAATAAATACTAATAGTTACTGTTAATTATTTAGTACATGTAGAAGACAGACAAGTTTGAGTGAGGAAGAATCAATGACTTTAAATTTATTAGATACTAATTTCCCACCCACATTTTTTCGTGATTCACGCAAGACAGGAACATTACCAACTATGCAGAGCAATCAATGACCAATCTAGCAGGAAGTCAGATTATTTTACCTTACTTTTAATAAAAGACAATTCTAAAGCATTTTTTTTTCATTTATAGCATGCTTTACTCCTTTCCTAATTAAAATCAAGAATAATCATCAGAGAAAGTACTCAAAATAAGTGAAAAGGACATAGAGTAACTATAATTGTAATTACTACCTAGGAATAAGTGTTTTTCAAACAGGAGATATACTTTCTAAACTCTAAAAGTGGAATATTTATATTGTTATACCTTTGATATAAACTCTAAAATTTATAAACATGTGAACACATAAATTTTTGTAGTCTGACCAATCAATTTAATCCTAGCACTCTTGATAATTCTGTTTCCCTAATATCATTGCTTGATGTTTTTACCAAGATACTTTGTTTAATTGGAATATTCTCTTTTAATAGAGTTTTACAAACCTAGGTTGGCTCTAAATACCTTCAATTTAGTAATATTTTTGTTGTATAGGGATCACGGTTCCTTTGTACATGCATATATATGTATGTAATTGTATACACACAAATATACATAAATATGTACATTATATATACATATAGACATATCGTCAAAGCTATTTCTAAAAATTATTTTTAACTAGCATCTGGTATGTGATGTACTTACATTGCTAAATGTCATGTTGATAGAAAATATTATATTTTAAAATATTAAAATATTTATATTTTTACTTACACTTTTTCCTTGGAGGAGAATTAAGTACATGTAAGCAGTGAAATCCTGTCTTCTTCAATTTAAAATTATCAATAGGCGTTGTTCTGGAAACATTCCAAATGCGCAAAACACCCACTTGAGAGTCTAGTCAGATCATCAAAACATCAAAATGTTCACAACTATTGTGTGAAATCAAGATGCCCAGACATAAAAATAACAACAGACTTTTAACTCCCATGAATGTTAGCAGCAATTATTGATATCTTTCAACACTATTTGGTATGGTGATAACAACTGAAGAAACTGCTGAAAAGATCTAAATATCCCCAGTGCCTAGTGCACTCATATATATACATAAACTGCTCATCAGTTTCCTATGTACTGATACAGCCTTCAGTGTCTTCTTCCACTTACCATAAAGTGTTCAAGCTCACAATGTTACAGTATGCATCTGCCACTTCATTTTTTAATTGCTGAATAATATTCTACTATGTTCGTTCACAACATTTTGTTTGTCATTCACTTTTATGGTTAACCTGTTGTTACCATGAGCATTTATATATAGGTATATGACTATATAATTCTGTTGAGTGTATACATATGAATGAAATTTCTAGTCCAAATGGTAATTTTATCTTTGATTAAGGAGCTTCCAGACTACTCTCCAAAACAACTATTAACATGGGATTTAGGGGAAGAAAGGGGACTTTCTAACAGCTTTTAGGCTCATGGTTCTTAGGTTCATAGAGATCCTATCCTATTTTTCTTGTCAGCATCTTTGCTGCCATCTATACTTGCCATTCTGCTATACCTGAAAATTAGCTTTCTCTTTAGTGTTCCCACAAACTCAGACATATATGTGTGCACATTTCCAGAAACCTGGAAGGGAACCTTAATTTCATTTTTACTTGTAATTGTGCTAATAACATACCATATAACTAAAAAACTAGGTGCCAATTCACCAAGAAAAGACTACAATTTCCCTCAGTTAAACAAGACACATATATGTAAAACTCTGGGTAGGAGAGATACAATTACCTCCAGTTATAAACATGCCAGGAGCACTGGGAACCCAAGCTAAGCATTGTACAGAAGCTACTGCACTTGGAAAATTAAATGTTGTTATGCAATAAAGTGATTCAGAATCAACTAGTCGAATTCCATAGTGCATATTAGCCACAAGAAGATAGTCAGTAGACAGAGGGTCCCATTCCAGGGCTGTAACTGGATCCTCTTCATCTGTTCCCTCAAGAGATTCAGGTCTCAGAACATGTTTCTGATTTTTATTACCTATTAAAATAGAAAGACAATGCTTTTTTAAAAGTCACAAAAAATCAATATTTTTGAGCATGTTAATTTTCTCCTCATATGTGAACCATCTACGACAGTATTAAGAACGCATTTTATATGGGAGAGACAACTGACATGTAAATGTAGAGGATTCATTTGTCCTAATGATTCAAGTCAGATTGCCTTGGTAGTTTCTAGTGCCTTGAATATATCTCCTATTTGTTACTGAAACCTGTAAAAGAATGATATATATATATATATATATATATGCATATACATAAATATATATATATATAAACCACAAATTAATCTCAACAGCAAATTTCACTTAGTTGGTCAGCATAGGTGTAGAGAAATGCTTATTGGAAAGAGAGTGTCAGGAAGTGATTGGAAGCATAAACTTTGAAGCTAGCTGCCTCGGTCTAAATCCTAGCTCTACTCTTCACTAGCTGTTTATAATGGAGGACATAATACTAACCTCATTAGTTACTGAAAACGAGTTAGTTGACTAAAGTGTTTAGAACAGTGCGATGTTTAGTGAGTCATTGTGTTCTACAATTCCTTTCTCGTTCATCATTTCATTTACTGAGGACCAATTCAAACAGGAAAGTCAGAATATAGATAAAATAGATCAAACAAGTATAGGTAAGTGAAAAAAAGAGTCATTAAGTGATCCTCTTGTTTTTGTAAATTACATATTTAGAATTGTTGAGATGGAAAACAAACACTTTTGTACATGAACCACATGAGACCTCCACCAAGGTAGTCCTCTCCTTCTCACATTAAATAAATAAAGTCAGCGAACACTGAACAGACTGCAGCACCAGCAGAAAGAACCATTAGGCCAAGGTATTATGAACGTCAAATGAAGTGTTAATCACCTCTCCTACAAAAATAATACCAGTACAGATGCCTTAGCTCTCATTGGAATTCCACAAACCAGAGCATAAAAACAGAAGAAAAGTTTCATTTGCATTGAATATATATTTGTAAAGTGAACTGAAAATCTTGTCATGGCTACTTTGAGATTAAATATTAGGGTATGTTACTCTTTGAATATCATGTTGATCTTAATATTTTACTTAGAAATTTTGTATACTCATAGAAGATAGATGAAACTCTGTTTAGCATTATCAAAATTATGTATAAAACCATTAAAAACTTTAGTTTTTCTTTGCCAAAATAAGGATCTGTTGGAATTGCTATTTGGTATAATATAGTGATATATATGCATATATATATATATATATATATTAATATGGCCAATCATAAGAATATGAGAGAAAAATGGTATATTAACCAAAGCATTAGTTGTTGTTTCTTGAGAAATATTTAGGCATTTATTGTACCAGTTAATACTTATGGCTTATTAAAAACATTCTGACATGTAAAAACTCAAAACCATAATAACAAAATAGAAGACCTTGCAATAATGATTTTATAATATCTGAATTTTATTGCTTCAAACCCCTGTACTTATTTAGTAAAATTTATAACATAATAACTTTTATTTTTCTGTCATGAATCCTGATATTTTATTGTTAAAGATAGAAAATGGACTTCAAAATTATGAATATTTCAATATTATGAAAATGACTGAATTGAGTTCATTCAAGGAAAGATCTAAACATCCAAGGTAAAGGTATCACAATGCCTACAAATAAAATTTACTTCAACTGATAATTTGATTGAAGTCCATTCCTGAATAGTATTTCCAGCTATTAAGTTTGTATTAAAATTTGTGACCTTGACTTCATGTATTGGTGTATTTTGGACCTGGAAGGTTCTCTAAGTAGGAAGGTTCTCCAAGTAGGAAGTTTTAGGTTACTGGAGATTATCATGTATTAAAATACAGATGGGTATCTGCTAAGAAAACAATACCAAGATTAGACTACTTATATTCTTACCTGGCTGAAAAATGGAAAGACTTCCATCAATATGACCAAATACAACTTTCCCCTTTTTTTGGGCATGCCATCTGAATATGCAGATATCAGACAAGAAGTTCTGAGCTTCTCTGTGCACAGTCACTCCATTGTCTGGTCCTGAGATGGTCCAAATGAACAGTGGACCTCGATGGGAAGCAAACGCCACAGCATCATCTGCATTCCAGCACCAGCAGAGAGAGGCAGGCATCCCTGGAATAAAAGAAACCCAGAGAACATAACAGAAACATGTGCCATGGATTATACCAATAATCACTGTGCATTTCTGAAACCAATTAAGATGTAGGATATGATCACTGTTTTAAAAATTCATTGCTTTATTACTTGGGAATTAGATATCAAATTATCCAAAGACTTCCAAAGATAGATGTAGGGAATATCCAATGTGAAAAGAAAAACATTTAGCTAGATTCAAGTACTATTCAGTCAACATATGCTTTATATAGACAAAGAAATTTGTAGAGATCTTTATTTCAGTAGAGGGTATAGTATGGTCATATATATTTAATGTCTGTTTATAAATACATTTCTGTAGGTATTCTAGGTATAATGATTGAATGGGATTGAATCTTGTAAATGATCCATTGAGAAAAATGAAAAATATGAAAAGACAAATGCTATTCTACAAATGTAATAATAATGAACTTTAACAGTGAGGACAAACCATTTGTATCATTTGAGAAGCTTAGATTCAAATCCTAACTTTGTTGTAGATGAACTAAACAAATGATTTTCTGTTTACTCCTGTTTCTCCATTGATAAAATGGGAATACCAATACAAATAGCTAACTGTATAATTAACATACTGTTCAGAAAGAAAGCATACTAATGTATTTTTTAAACTGTAAAATTGGGTGCAAAATTTAATCGCTAATATTCGTGCTTTTGTTGTAAAGAGATAAATGTTATGTAAAATAAGTTTGATAGGAAGTTCATGAGTCAAAGCAGAAACTGGACTTTCTCAAGAGAGATATATTGACTATACTATATCAGAATCATCCACATGAATAGAAGATATGAGATCATGTGGAGGTAAGGCCTAGAAATCTATTCTTAAGATTCTCCAACTGTGCAGAGAGATTTTGGGAACCAAAAAAAGAAATTGGATTTGAGTTAAATTTTGAAGGAACAATAGAGAGTGGGTAACAATAGAGCTTAAAAATACAGAATGGGTAACAATATCCAGAAAGGGAAAGTTGTACAAAGTTTCTGGCCTACAGTAAAGTTCAGTTTGTGCCAGTTGTCATAGCTCCAAGAGGCAGAAAATAGATCAGGGTATCACACATCACTGAATCTCCCTAAATATTTGATAAGTGAATGAATACATAAGTTCATAGTTAAGACCAATAATAAAAAAGCTGATGTTTTAGTATGTATTAAGAAAATCAGAATTTCTCAAGTAAAGAATTTTTCACAATCAAGTCACCATGGTGCAATTGGAGGGCAGTAAGAATGCTGGCTCACTGAATGGCATAGTAGACAGTGAGGAAAGTGAAGAACCAGAAACACTATTGTGTAGTAACAATTGGAAATACTTTATGGGTGGTCTATTACAATTACTTCTAAGAGCTCCAAAAGTACCAACATGGTTAATTCACTCAACAATATTTTAAAATATGTAGGAACAATGATTACACATTCTTATTCAAAATCTGGTAACAATTGCAACATCTATAACTAGGCAAACTAATACTTCTTTTATTTTACATGGATTGTTTGTTAGGGAAAAATGTCAAGAAAAAAAATCAAAATCAAATTGTGTATATGGAAGGTGAAAAAGGGTGTATATAACATAAATGACCAAAATTATTGATAATTTTTTCAATAAAATATTAAAATATTCAATCTTTAAACTAAAGCCATATTTGGAAATAATATTTGAAAATTATTCAGTAATAATACAAACTTAAACAAAATTGTTACACTAATTATTCTACAACTGTTATGTAATTGCATATTCAGTGGCATGGGAAATTGCAGCACACATAAACAATGAATGAAAATGTCTCTCACCATGTGATATGTAAAGTGTTTTATGATAAATCACTATCAAAAGTAGATGATAGTAATGTACTATGAATTCTAACCTACACTTCTACAACACAGTTTCTGGTATAGAATTTTTTTGCTGTTATGAGAACAATAATAGTTTAGTCTATTTCACATAAAGTGTAAAACTAGTTTTAAATAGTTATGTTAAGATAAACCTCACTTTAAAACTGCATTTGAAGTATAGTTATCACAATGGACAATGCTGGAATAGTTTAGCATTTTTGATTGGAAGAGACATAGAAAACATGGAGAAATAGGAAAACATCTTCTTTGAGACCACCACTGTAAAGATTCCACAAAGTTTACTGCTAAAAGTAATTCTGGTTTTTTTTATTGATATACTGAAAACTCTATGAAAAACTGCTAACTATATTCACAGAAACTTTCTGAATAGTTCATTTCGAAATATTGTTTACTCAGATATTGGAATGTGTTTTACTGTGTATTACTTTGGTTAGTAAAAGTGAAAACTTAAAAATCAGCTTATATGATTTGGAAATGAAATTTATTAGTTAAAATTAATCTCATTTGGAAAATATATTAGCTCACAGTTGGGTAATTACTGATTTTTTTAACATGACCTCATTCAAAAAAGACAAGGCAAAAGCAAATGCTGAGTATGTTAAATATCCAAGGGTTCTAAAAGATATTAATATTACTATGGAAGTGACATTAAAGAAAATTGCTAGTGAATTGCAGCTAAATATTATAATTATAAAGAAATATAGAATACAATGAAGATATGAGATTACTGAGTCTGATTTCCATCTTATCTTTTTATTTTTTAGTAAAACTGAATATAAATGTATACAGAAATGCTTTACAAAACCATCCATCATCAATAATTGAGTTATATTTATTGTTCATAGAATAAATTATTGTGACATTTAACACGGAAATGATTACTTAATTTTACTATCATTGTGGGATAAGACAGAGTAAGAATTCTCAATATTAAATTGAAAAATACAATATGTATCAAATTCAAAAGATAGGAATATAACTTAGTGGTAGAGTGCTTAGCATGCATGAAGCCCTGGATTCAATTCCTCAGTACTAAATAAACAGAAAAAGCCAAGGTGGTGCTACGGTTAGAGTGGTAGAGAGTAAAGAAAGCTTAGGGACAGTGCCCTGAGTTCGAGTCCCTAAGGCTGACAAAAAAAAATGGAATGAAACAGGCAAGGTCTGTTACTTGTTCGATGAAGACAGTCTTTTCTAATTATGATTTTATATTTATTCTGAAATGCTAATATTATACACAAACATTAATGACATTCTTTGGCATTGTAGGTTCTTAATTGTATATTCTAAGTATAATTATTTCAGAAAGTTACTTTTTGTTTGGAGTTCAAATATACATGGGTTATGCAAAATGTACTTCTTACTATCAAAAAGTTTTAAAATATTACTTTAATAAGGCTAACATGTTTATTAAAATAAAGTATTTTATTCAACAAAGTAATATACCTTTTGCACTGTCGAGTTTAGCAATGGCTTTTTGTTCTGCAACATTCCAAATGATCAATAAATTATCGGTACTGCCACTTGCAAACAGATCGGGGTTATGTGGACACCAAGAGATGGCTGTGATTGTTTTTTTATGTTCAGACATAATTGAATGAAGTTTGAATTCATTATAACGGTGATCCAACTAAAACAAAATATATAAATGAAAGAGTTTAGTGCTCTTTTTTTAGGTCTATGTTATCCAATGGCAATCACAATTATACGAACAAAATCTACACAACAAAATTAGTTCACCTAATAATCCAGATGCAAATGCAAAGGAAGCCTTGGTTTACATTTAAATGTATTCAGTTTGTTGAAATAAACCATTTGGGAAAATATGAAACAATTACAAAACTACGTCCATTAAAATTAATAAATGTTTTACCTTTAAATATTAATATTCAGAGCTTCATTATATTTTGCATAGATAAATCTATGGGGCATTTAAAAGCTTTTATTTTGGATTTTCTCCATAATTTTTCATTATATTTTAATTTAAAAATTATGTTAAAGAGACCAACTGCTCACTCTTAAATTACTAAGATGTCTTCTGCATCCACTATATAATGGACCATTGTGTGTGTGTGTTTGTGTGTGTGTGTGTGTTTGTGTGTGTGTGTGTGTGTGTGTGTGTGTGTTAGTACGAGGTCATGCACTCAGAGGCTCTAGCTCTCACTCAGCTTTTTTGCTCATGGCTAGCACTCTATCATTTGATATACACTACAGTATTCATGGATTATTTGCAATTGTATAATTGTCCTGGGTCAATCACAGACCATTGGTATACTGTTTACTTGGGTATAAAATTACATTTTCCTTTACAATTAGATGAAATGTATAGCCTATTTGTCCTATTTCACTTGTATGTGTACTTCCATTAAATAGATGATTTATTATCTTATAATGTTTTAGATGATATTGTATATATCATTTTGTGAGTGTCAGTCTTCTTCCATTAACATATAAGAAACCTTATATGTTAACATAAGGAACCTTATGATGCTGCTTAACTATATTTAAATCAATATATTCAATATGATAACATTTCTTTAAGCACACATTTGCAGTAAAGTTTTAAACTCTAATATAACCTTCAATTTCCTACAATAACCATCAAACATCTGTTCGATATCAAACTAATTTGATATCAAGTCCTTACTGCTTGTTCTGCACTTGTTTCTCTAAGGCAAACTTCCTTTTGTGTTACAGACTTACACTTCCATTTCTCTTGACATCTAATGCAGATATTCATTCGCTTATTCATATATGAGTTTAAAAGTACCTCTATAGAAAGATGACTTGAGATCTTGACCTTGTATCTAAACCCCAAAGACTCTCTCATGACTATTGTGATTCCTGTTTTCTAGCCTTTTTCATATTTCCAGAAGCTTTTGTTTATGTCCTCATTTCATAGCATCTCCATGTCCTCTGTTCTTATGAAAAATGTTTATAGTTGTATTTCCAGTGTCAAGTAATTTTTTTATCAGTAGAACAGACTCAGGTGATACTGAAAGAATAAACCCTCAAACTATTGTTTAGTGTTTTAATAACTTCTAATTTTTTCTATCACAATGAAAAATCTTTGTATATGAAAATTTAGCTAATGACCTAAGTATTTCTTTGTCTTTCTTTGTCTTCAGTTATATAATTTCTTTAATTTCTCCTGTAATTTTTTTGTTTTCTATAACTTCAGCTGTTCTTGTACAACTGTGATGAAAACAATATTAAAAACAAATGACTGAGTATCATTGTTTTCATCTGAATACCATTAGGTAGTAATTATTTTAAACTGGTCTATTTAAGTAATTTTATTTCTGTATAGTTAGAAATAGTTCTTCAAGGGCTGGGATGTAGCTCAGTGGCAAAGCACTTGCCTAGCAAATACAATGTACTGGGTTTCATCCCCAGTACCAAAATAAGAAAAGACAAAAAAGCAAGAGAGAGAAGAGAAATATTTCTTCAATTTAAAATTTAAGGCAACTTAAGTTATCTGTGGCAGATGCTGGAAACGGAACCAGTGTACATTAGAAAAAAACTTCTACTTGTGTTAGAAATTCAGTAGAATTATGAAATAAAAATCCAGTTAAATAAAAATTATCAAACCATTTACAAATACCATTGAATAGTTCAGAAAAAGATAACATATTGTGTCATTTTCTACAATGTGACAGGTTATCAAACTTGAACTATTCAGTGTACAGGGTAGCAGATTCTACTGATAAACATTTCCTCTGAAAATAATTGTAACATTTTCTATTAAAATCTGTTTAATTCAACACCTTTAAAATAACAATATGTTAAATTGATGTAATGTCACCCATTTAGTAATGTAAGTAATGTATTTTGAAACAAGATGCTATAGCAGGTACTGTATTAAACTCTCACCTGGTTTTATTTAACTTCTAAATAAAGTAAGTTTTAGATGGTTTCAGTTTAACGATATGCCAATGTGCTTCATGGGCTTTTTTTAAGGTTTAAAAATTTAGCTTAATCTTTCTATATCATTGTCATTAAATGTCATAAAATTTCGGATACATGTAATCTTGAGAAGAATTAGGTACTGCCTTCATTTACTGGGTTTCTTCCCATCTTTGCCTGATAAGCTCTTTGTTAAGCGAGAAGGAAAGAAGAGAAGATAGGGACTTAAGAGTAGGAGCAAATTTTATAGGAGGAATTTGGGAAAGAAGCTTATGCTACATGCAGAATACAAGCAGGCAAATGGGAAAGAAAGGAAGTATCTAGAAAGCTTGCTCCGGTCTTCTAGATGGAAAGTGAAAGAACATAAGTTATACTAAACACACACTTCCATTACTACATATTGTAAGTCTTGATGAATGGACTATATAAAATCTTATTCTATATTATGTAAAATGAATTATTTTATTAATTAATGTTATTATTTGTCTATAAATTACAGCACCATTAGAGTGATCAACTATTATGTTTTATTGAAAATTACATTACTTTAAGATGAAATATTTCCTTTGCTTAAATGAGTTGATGTTTCAAGTTTCTTTTAAAAACCTCATTTATTCAAGACATTCAACTGATGCCTACTAAATGCCAAAGAGCATACAAAACTTTAAGAACATAAAGAGAAAGACTCTGTAAATGGAACCATGTACAGAGGCATTCTATCTTTATGAGATGCTTCACAAGAAAGGAAAAAAGCAGAATATGTAAAAGAGTTTATACCATTAATTTAAGATTTGAAAGATGAGAAAAGTTCTCCAAACATGCAGTGCAGGCAAATCAAAAAATTAGAGAAAGCAAAAGTCAAGACATATAAGTCTGAAATGTTTAGAAAATGCAGATTGTTTGGCATATTGGAATGTTCCAAAGGATCACAAATGATCACATAAGATCCTCAAATTCATTCTATAAAGTTTGGGCCATTAGTATTACAGATTGAGTAACAAGTAAAGATGTAAAAGTTAGATTTGCATTGTAGATGATTAAGTACATTGAGGGATAAATTACAAGGAGCCATTAGGGCGGAGAAACTATTCCAGAAAATTCTGTGTAACACAGCAAGTAGGAAGATATAAAGAAGATATTGAAAGATATGAAGTACTTAGAATCCAGATTATAAAGGTATTGCATGTGAGTAGAAGACTCACATTATCTGGTGGTACTGAGTTCTTGACTTTGGGCTTAAGTAAAAAGACAAGATTTGGGGTCACAAAGCTCTTGGCTCATCTATAAAAAGGAATTCAGGAGGCCACTTACCCTTTTAATTAGGAGCTAGTAAGAAATGACTGAATGCAGCCAGGTATTTACACCAATGTAGTTATAAAGGTTTTCTCTTCCTCCTAAAGAATACCTCAAAATATAGCTGAAGTAATTTTGATTATTTCTAATAGGCCATCTACATTCTTCATCTTGTAAGATAATTTCTTCCTATCAGATTTATTAATAATATAAACATTTTCAAAAAGTTTTAAAACTCAAATGGAAATAACAAAAATAAGTAAATAGAACACCAATATTGACTAAGTTCTAACTTTTCATGTGACAGTGACTGAAAACAAGTATTAAATAACTTATCTATTATAATAAACAACCAGAAATAATTAGTGTTATTTTACCTGGTAGATGTAGATGGCCAGCGTTGCACAATACGCAAACCTGTCTCCACTGGCAGCACATACATCTTTGTTCCATGGCTGACATCCGGCAGCCAGCAATCCCACTTGCCTTACCTGGGACATGTTTGCCTTTAAAAAAATTTGAGGAAATGTCCATCATTAGTATTATTTGATACATTTCTTCATCATTTTACATATTTCCTCAATGCTTGTATGCTCTGAAAAAAGAATCTGCTAGTATTTTTAACCTCAACTCCTATTTTCAGAGACAAGCAGGTGAAGGTCCAAATGTATAGATCTCATAGCAGGCAATTGCAATTAGGAGAAGGAAATGATTCTAAAATAAATGGTTATTATGTAGACTCCAAGCAAGGCTGGGAAATGTACAAGAAATGATGGGACTATAATGAAAGAAAACGTGCATAGCCTCTCTAAATGATTTTATTTCTATGAAAGCCATGCTATGATGCCAGATGGGTGCCCCACCCCCCACAGTGAAAGATCCTGAATTTTCTGGGATATGTATCAATTTACATTATTGACAATTCATTCAAGGCAGCAAATTCAAATTGAAATCCTATGACCCAATGTTGCGAGATGTGTAAATATCTTAGAACTTCATGGCTTGACATCGACTGTTCATCCCCATAAATAAAAGCTACATGAAGTGCATTAGACCGATATGCAAGCTGTGTTAAAAATATTCCTTATTGTTAGGAGAGGATAGAAGAAATCTGGAAAGTAGTTTATATATGAATAAAAATGACTTCTATTCAAAAATCAATGATGTTAAAGTAAACAACTCCAGAATGAAGATGGTATAATCAGCAGAAACTGCCCAGGGCTGAGACTGAATGAGACTGAAACAAGACTCAGCCATGCACAGGATGGATTGGAGGCAGGTGCTTAATTTTAGGCCTCTTATTTCTTGTATTGAAAATATTGCTTGTGAACCTGATTTTCTACAAGATTCCTCTCTATTAATCTATGTATAAACTAAATTCTCAGTCACTGAAAAAAAGGAATCACATAATGAGTCTGTTGATAAGTCTATGATCATATAGAAAACATCATTATCGAAAATCTTAGGCAAAATACCTATCTATGCAGAGTATTACACTACATAGTTATCCAATGAATAATATTCAAGAAAAAATATTGTCAATAAATTACTGACAAAAAGTTTTAAAGCTAGAATCCAGACGATCATTAGCTTCTTTTCTCAGAGGAAAGACAACAACTTTTAATGTAGTAGACAGTCTAAACTTGCACTATCAATTTATCTCTTGTTCAGAATCCATTTTTCATTAGTAGGAACTTCATACTTTATTTTAAAAGAGAAAATGCACATAACCTTAAAATATTTTATTCTGAGAAATTAAATTAAAAAATAACAGACATAATTAACTTTCAATCCATACTTAGTGTTGACCAAATATTCAAACTATCCTACGAGCCTTATCTTAATGTCAAACACATCATCTGTAAAATGATCACATGCACAACACACACACACACACACATACACACACACAGTGCAAGTCACAGTGCAAGTCACCTGACCATTTGTTCAGTATAGTCCATGGAGTTTTCTATTCAATTTAGCTTTCTAATGTATTACCCAGGAGCTTAAATGTGCTATCTTGAATTAATAATAACTAGTATTTCAAAAAATTAACTTTTATTATCTTCTTCCTTTTCAATGCTCATCAATTAGCAAATGATTATATTTTTCCCAGTGGATCATTAGCCTTTGTTAATTTAATTTATAAACTACATACTTTTTTCCTTATTTGCTATTTCAATATATCTACCACAGGAATATAAAGTGAATTTATAAGTTTTCTTCTGTAGATGACACTGAGTAATACTGAGTACAACATAAAAAAGTTACTATATATCATTAATTGTGTATGTACACCATACTTAAAAAAAACTTCATCATGTGTTCAAGCAACTGTTAGTATTTGAAATACCTATGATTTTTATGCGCAAAGATTACAAAATATATTATACTACTATTGGTTTCATTAAGTGTTATCTATTCTTGCCAAAAAGATAAAATGAATGTCCCAATGCATTTGTTATGTTTATTATTGGCATGACCAAATGAATGACTGCATTGCTGAAAATTAAAAAAATATTCAATTGAAGGTACATTAATATATATGTATATACATACATTTGTGACAAGTAATATATTTCAGATAATTATTATAAGCCCTTTATCATCTTCACTTCAGAATTATAATCTGTGAATGACTTGAGTTTCTATGTGTGTTTGAAACATTTGTTCCTTCTGAAATAATCTTTTTTTGACCTAGAAATAACATATTTTACTGAAGAATTACTAAGCATTGAAGCTCACTGAATAATACATAAATATCAAATAGAGTCTATATTTCTTCTTGCTCAAGTTTTGGTCACTCCCTGTACAGATACAGGTATAAATGAAAGATCTCATTCTAAATAAAAATTGCTATGTGGATGTTGGCATTAGTTTCTTCTAAAAAATCCAACCTCTTATTCTTCAGGTTATGTGTAAATATACCTATATTCTTCTGAAATCACCATTTGGCATACAAGACTTTTTGAATATCTTTAAGTTTTACAAGAAGAAATAAATTAGATTTCTGTGCTAAACACAAATTGGAAACGTAATTTTGAGAAATTATATTCAGATCTCAAAATCAGGAATTCTGGTTTTAGAGCAAAGAGGGAAAGATTTTGAGCCCTTATAATCTCCATGAATTGCTCCAAGTCACTTTAAAATAACATATATTTTATTAAAAGATGTTTTTATTATCAGTCCCTCTTGCTTCCCAAATTAGACTATTCTCTATATCTTTTCCTAATGGAGAAGCACATAGACCACACTTAAAAAAAAAAAAAAAAGCCTTATTGTTAAACAGCCAGGCACAGCTGGTGGCTCATACCTGTAATCCTAGCTACTCAGGAGTGTGAGATCTGAGGATAGTGGTTCAAAGCCATCCGAAGCAGGAAAGTTTGTGAGACTCTTTTCTCCAATAAACTACTCAAAAATCCTGAATTGGAGTTGTAACTCATGTGGTAGAGCACTTGCCTTGAGCAAAAGAATCTTATTGACAGTGCCCAGGCCCAGAATTCAACCTCTAGGACCAGCAAAAAGAAATAAACAAAAAAAGAAATAAACAAAAAAAACCCAACAACTTTAGGAATGTACTTGCCACTATATTATACATTAATTGTAAATTACAAACAAAGGAGTGTGGCATTTTTCATGATTTATACGTGTGTCAGTTTTAAATTCACAAACTGAAACATTTGTTTCATCATTTACGGATAAGGTTGGAATTTAGAATGGAAAGCTAATCACTAAATCTCAGTCTCTTTAACTGAAGGGTGCTTAGGGTTCACGGTATGAGTATTACTCTCCAGACTTAGATACCATTGTCTGTAGATACTTTTACCAACTTATAAAGAAAAAGAAAAGAAATTTATCTGGAAAAAAATTAAAAGCCCAAGAGACGCTATGCACTGCTGAGTATTCATAATTAAAAAGGACTATCCTAATGAGAAAATATCTGTGATTGGTATGATCACAAAGCACAATTATGATGATAGAAAACAGAAGGGAAAAGGAAGGAAAATAAATTACTGCAAATCTTTAGAAGCATATGCCCTTGAATAACAATGAGCAAAATGTAGTCAAACTACACAGACTTATTCTGGATTTTCCTTCACAATTTAAAGAAAAGAAAACAGACACAATCTTCATTTAAATACTAATAAGTTCTCCATTTAAAAGGTGAACTAGGAAAATAAAACTTATTTTTCTAAACTAAATCAAATTCAATGCCGTACATTTTTAAAGAGTTTTTTTCTCTTACAATAATAAATCAGAATACTATTTTCAAAATACTATACCAGAGTTGCCATGGCAACAATGTAATTACTTCTGAAATATAATTAATTGATTTAGAATTTATCAGATGCAATAAGCTTCAATTTTTGGCATTTCCTTTACAATGTTATAATTGCTGTTAGACTATATTTAATTAAATGTTTTATTTGTGTCAAATAATTTTCTTGGAAGTATTGCTATTTTCATGACTGATGAGTCTTTTACAAAACATTACTTATGAAACATACCTAAATCCAATCTAAAAACATTATTCCCGCCCCCCCCCCAGACTGGGGAGAGGGGAAACAACCTTTTCTTCTAGATATAATTACAACTAATCTTATCAATCATCATCTTACTTCTACTTTTTAAATTATCTAATACTATCATAGTTACCCTCAGAATTCTGTACTGCAAATATGTCCACACAACAATGATAATATAGCTGCATGAGAATATAGCAGAGCATGAAAAATATCACAGAACACCATAATTACAACATAAATAAATCTCTTACTCTTTGTAGTCCTTCATACCAATCATCTTGCTCAAACCAATGTGAAACGTAAGTCATCCAAGCCATAGAATGTTTCTATTTTAATCAAGGCAATTGGAAACTCGCCATCAGAATAGTCGGCACCTAAGGTAACAATGTTGTATTTCAGCCAAAGAAGCTTTCTCAAAACCTCCTCTGTGAAATGATGTTCAGTACAAGGAATTAATACTGCACAAACATTTCAGCTAAAATAGTTTCAATAATTTACAAATAATATTTGCTAAAAGAATGCTATATCTGAAAATAAAAGCCCAAATTCAATTACAAAAAAATTAAATAATAATTGTTATAAAGTTCCACAGAGTACTGTACAAAATATTTTATCAGTTGTTAACTTATATTCCAAAAAGTATCTTAAATTTGCTTCTGCAATAAATTGGTAAGTAACTTCTAAAAATTACTGAGTTAAAAAAATCTACAAAAAGAAATCTAAAAGAGAATGAGATGAGATCTTTCACCCTTAGGAGTTAGACATAAAGTTAGAAACTGAAAGCTCTTAGGTTAAAAAGTATACAATGATAATGTCAATCTTTTTTTTCTGTTTATTTCCACTCATTAACTTGAGAGTTAATTTTACACTTAGCTATTATTCATCACCTAACTGCCTCAGAAAATTTAGAACCATATCACTAAATATAATGCCAGTATGTTGAACAACAAACAAAAACCATATGAATTTGATTCACTCTGGAAGAAATCACTTACTAACTATTGTAAATAAAAAAATGTCTAGCCATACAGGAGAATACTTATATTTCAAAATATTTTCTATGACATTAAATGCTTTGAACATATTATCAGGTTCAAATTCATCTTTATCTGACCAAATTCTTCAAACTGGTCTGTTACTGGAGATCAAAAGAAAGAAGGACAAATAAAGGAACAAAGGAGGGAAGGGATAAAGAGGAAGGGAAGAAAAAATAAAGAATAAAAAGAGGGAAGGGAGCCAGGTGCAAGTGGCTCAAGCCTGTAAGCCTTGCTACTCAGGAGGCTTAGATCTGAGGATCAGGTTCAAAGCCAGCCCAAGCAGGAGAGTCTGTGAGACTCTTATCTCCAATAAACTACTCAGAAAAAGCCAGAAGAGGCTGCGGGACAGAGCCCAGGCCCTGAGTTCTAGCCCCAGGACCAAAAAAAAAAAAAAAAGAGGGCGGAAGGACTGAAGGAGGAAGGACAAAAAAGTAGAAGGAACAGGAGAAATGAAAGAAAAGAGAGAGAGACTATGGAGGGAAGAAGGGAAAAGGGTGAAGAAAGAAAGGCAGGGAGAATAAGATGGGGAATGGGAGAGAAAGAGACAGCGCAATTTGAATGGTTCCCCCTTCATATTATAAAACTAAAATAGCTTTGTCCTAGCACATAATACACTTGTGTGAAATGTACTATTGTAACTATTTATGAAAAGTGTTATCTCCACTGTGATTCATTATTCTTTACAAGTATTTTTGATAACACTTTCTTGAAATACTAGGGAGTGGACTCTTCTTCAGGTAGCATCTGGTATGGGAACATTAGCTGAATTTCTTTATGTTGTTTTTTATCTTTCCAGAATCTAGATAATGTCTTCTCTACCCTATCCTTCTAGTTTTGTGCTTTTCTTTTTAAAGCCTATCTGATCATAGTAATGGATGCTCATCTGCTCCTACCTTATTCTACTCCTCTTTTTTTGTCTCTTCTACTACTTATCCAATTTTGATATTCAATTCTACATCTAAGTCCTGCCAAATGCATTTTTACTCTATTTTGAAAGTAGATGTAGCATTGGCCCAACTGCTCTAATGATGTTTCCACTGCTTTACTGATTACAGTTTCTCTCCTGATCCACTTAAACTTGTTTACCCATTGAAAAAGCTGAACTGAATACAGAACATAATTATAAATGATACATGCAATCATCGAGTTCTATCCTTAGAACTTTTAGTTATTGTAAGATAGCAAGATTTGTATTTTACATTGCTTATAATTAAAATAATACTCATTGGCATATGTAACAGAATAAGAGAAAACAAAAATAAAAGAAAGAAAATGTCTTGTCAAGAAATGTACTCATTACCTTACTCATGTAACTGTAACCCCTCTGTACAGCATCTTTACAATAAAAGAAAAAGAAAGAAAGAAAATGTCATAGTGTCACTCAAAATAAGGCCTCAGAATCAACATTGTAATCTAAGAATTTGCATAAAATACAAAAGATACCATAACTATTCTAATATGCACTATGTAAAAGGAATTATACAGATAAAGTTAGACACTGACAATTAAGGTATTGAAATAAGATTTCTATCAGTGATGGCAATGGCGATACATAACTGATCGAGATATAATCTTAGAGGACTATCCACAAAATATAAAAAGGCATTCCAGTTGGTAACAATAGGTACTATGTGAATGATACTATACAGTGTCTTAGTTGAACCATCCACAATGCTGCTGGACATTTAAAAAAGGCTTTTTTTCCCACAAATTCTGTACAAATTTACAGTGTTGTTGCTACTATATGCATTCAACTTAAAAACAAAAAGATTAGAAAGTAATAGATCTCTTCTACTATATTCTGCAAGTCTGTCCAAAGCACAACAAAACAACAACCAAAAGTCTTCCACATGGTATGGAGAAACAGAGTTTTGCTTCATTTTTCCTTTTTGTTGTCAAGATTAAAGTGAAATGATTAGAATTATTACATACAGGGAATGAAACCTCATGGTAAATATATTTAAGTATTTAACAAAGCAACAATCCAACACATAGCCAAAAATACTTCTCAGTTTTAGATACTAGGTATTTAGGAAAATTTAAAAGACAATGAAATTTATAAATATATTTATAATATATGATATATTTATATCATTTATAAATATAATCAAAAGACAGTTTTTTATCTTGCTATTTAAAAAGAGTTAGACTCAAAATATAATGAAGAATTTGAATAAAAATGTTAATTTGTAAACAAACATGAAAAAACACATCATGAGACAAGTTTTTAAATATTAATATTTGAAACTATCTATGCAAATAACTAAATGGCATACTAGTTAAACGTCCATAGGAAATGAAATGTTTTTAATGTATTTTCATTTTTAGAACTTCACCAATCACTTCTCAAGTCATTCATTCATTCAATAAATATTTACTGAGTAGTAGTCTATATAAGACAAGTATGAAGGAAGAAAACACGTATCACAACCAGTGACGTCCCATCTGGCTAGCACTTTAACTTGTATAGGAGAGAATCCATAGGTGACCAAAATAAATAAATAAATGATATACAACAGAATGCTTGATGTCAGAAAACAATAGTATAGGGAAAGACAATGAGAGGTTTTGAATCAAGGTCTCCTATTATAGTCTTTTAAAATCACATCACATTTGTTACTGACCAAACATCTGAAAGGAGATGGGAGGTCAAAACATAATCATTTCTGTTCAAAATGTCTGCTAGACAGAGGGAGGAACAACAGCAAATATTGTGGTCTTGTTTCTAGAAATTTAGTAATGATGTATGAAATGTGTCAAAAAAGGTCAGATATTTGAGGAGGTAGAGATTCAAGAATACTGTGTTGAACTCACCTTTATAATATTTGGGATTTTTATGTTTTTTTAAATAAACAGAAATATATTAGCTTTATTATGAAAATACATCACTAGAATCAATGCATAAAGTTTGACTGTGATCAGAGCCTTGCCACAAATATTTTATATACTGATATAATTGGCATATAATAATTGTCTCAAAAAACTGAAAAGTATAAAAATTGGAAGGAAATTTTAAAGTATCAGCCATTTGATCCCTAACAGAAAATCTTCGTATTTAAAAAATCTGTAATTTGAAATAAGCAATATTATTCTCACTGTAATATATAGTCATATTTATTATGATTAATTTAAAAATCTCACTTTGACGTGGTGTTTTATTCAAATAATTCATAACACAATTGTGCATCAGAATCTAGGGGTAAAGAGTTGTTAGTATTACCCCCTGATGAGTCATATGCACAGTAAAATTTAAGAACGATTGTCTCAATGAGATAATTTAGCAAAAAACTATGTATAACATCTTCTATTAACATAGATTAATCTCATACATTTCTGTTATTCTTGAGTCTAATTTTTCCATATTTAGCATAATGTTGTATCTATGCATTCTCACTATGTGTCAAATGGTAATGTTCTTAAAAGATTAGCTGGTAAAATGGGTCACAGTAAGTACCGTATTAGCCTACATTAGAATTCTAAATTAGGTAGCATGTAGAAAAGACCACTGTTATTATAGCAGTTTTAGTCTAAGCTTGCAAAATAACCACTTACACCTATCCAGATTCCAATTTAGTCAGCAAAACCTGGGATTTTTATACAAAATTAAGGGCTGTAAGACAGAATAGCAAAAGATTGATTCAAAAACATTACAGCTGTTTTCACCATCCATCTACATAAATTCATCTTTACACTTTCCTATATTTTAACCACTAAAAACAGATGGGTTTGAACTATGGCGTTATCTTGGTCTTTGGAAGATGCAATCAGGAAGATTGCATCTTTGTGATGCAATATGGAAATGCTGTTTGACCTGACTGCAGAAGTAATCTACTTTGCTTAAACAAGCTTATTCGCAATACCTTCAGTGTGACCAATCTGAGAGTCAGGCAAAGAAAAATGGAGGTGAGAGAAATCACATATTCGATTGTAAAGTAAGATGGGAGAAGTTAAATATGTTATTGACAGAAGAGTATGAAATAAAACCAGTATTTGTCATGAAAGATACGGGATTGTTTCTTACATAACGCTTAATGAAAAAAGATCCTCCTTTTTATAAATAGAATCATTCTTCAGGAAGGAGAACTTAAGGAGCTCTGGTACAAATTATTCTGTTAATGTGAAGAACCTTGTTCCTTTCTAATCTAGCTTGTTAACTGAGTGTTGCATGAGTTTTTAAAGCCCACTGAGCCTCTATGCTTAAAACTATTTGTGAAACTCAGATTCCCATTTGGCAGAAACTAGTTAGTGCTGGTATTTTCAAATTCTGGGAAAGGGTGCTA